GGCAGACCTTCTTACCTGTCTCTGTATCATAGAATCCAGGAGGCAACCGCATGTAAACCTCTTCCTGCAGGTCTCCATTAAGAAAAGCATTTTTAATGTCCATTTGGTACAAAGGCCAAGTGTGGCTTGCTGCAAGAGATAATAGAACTCGAATGGTGGTCATCTTGGCTACCGGGGCAAAGGTCTCCAAGTAAACTATACCATAAGTCTGGGTGAACCCTTTTGCAACTAGCCGAGCTTTGTACCTCTCAATGGAGCCATCTGCATTGTGCTTCACAGTAAATACCCATCTGCATCCAATTGGTTTCTTTCATTTGGGCAAATCAACTATCTCCCAGGTATTATTTTTCAATAGGGCATCCATTTCAACTTGCATTGCACCTTTCCACTCCGGGACTGATAGGGCTTCTTGCACTGTTCTTGGAATAAGGACACTAGCAACGAAAGTAAGATAGGACCTGTAGGAGGGAGATAGGCGATCATAGGATAAAAACTAGGAAATGCAGTGAACTGTAGATGTGGTACAATGCCGTTTCCCTTTACGGACGACAATGGGAAGGTCAAGGTCGTCTGTAGGAGGTGAAGTGGCAACAGTGGAAGGAGTCTCTGTGGGCCCTGGGACTGTAATACCTGGACTTGGAGCCGCAGAAGAGGTTGGAGCTGGCCTGGACTGTTGATGACCGGGATCAACCTGCTTGCATCGCCTGTGATAGACTCTCAACTCCTGATCCCTCTGACCACCCTCACTATTGCAGCCCTCATCACCCAATGGAATAGGTAAGGGAACAACCCCAAAAGTATTAACCCTACCCTCACTGTGCTCTCCCTGAAGAAAAGGACCCAAATCCCCACTCTCACTGCTCTCCCCCTGAGGAGAAACCCGAGAATAATAGGGTATCTCCTCAAGGAAAGTGACATCCATGGAGACAAACTTCTTCCCTAAGACAGGATCATAGTAGCAATAATCCTTTTGAGTTTATGCATAACCAAGAAAGATGCATTTGGAGGCCTTTGGTTTGAATTTGGAGTGATGGGGTCCGAGAAGCTGAACAAAACAGGTACAACCAAATGTTTTAAGGGGTACAGTAAACAACTCCTCATTTGGGTATAGAAGGGAAAAAGGAGATTTCATATCAAAAACCCGGGAAGGAGCCCAATTAATAAGATATACTACCGTGAGGATAGCATCACCCCAGAAGCGAAT